CCATGCTTTGCTACAAAACTATGTGATTGGGCTTGATAAATTGACACGTAAAGTCCGCTTTGCTACAAAACTATGTGATTGGGCTTGATAAATTGACACGTAAAGTCCGCTTTGCTACAAAACTATGTGATTGGGCTTGATAAATTGACATGTAAAGTCCGCAGGCCTGATGAGTCACGTGCTGGCCACGCCCACGCCCAGTCTAGCGAGGGGGAGTAGAACATTTCCTTAGTATCGACACATGTTAATATAAGGCTGTATAAAGAATATTGATGATCTGATGGTCATTTCGAAAAATCCTTTCTTAGCGAGCACCTAGAAGCCAAGAGGAACATAACGTGCCAAATTTCAAGTTTGTAGATTTTACCGTTCTGGAGATTTCGTGATGAGTGAGTGGTAGTTAATGCAATCTTCCCTTCTCCGTGCATATAGTACTTGATGTCCCATGGAAGACTGAGGAGTGAATAGCTCTTTTGTTGTTACCCGTTATGTTAACTCTGCCAGTTAATGGCACAAGCTTGTGTTGGCATGTAATCCCATTTCCCTCAAAGTAGTAAGCCAGTTTGAGATCTGTTTGTTATTTTATTGACACTTGTCTTCTATTACCATGTAAGGATAGTAGCGTCTGTCTATTTTAGTCCTCTAAGAATTGGTTCAAATATCATGACAACTGTTTTAATCATGGCAATAACTGCTCATCTGAGTATTTGTGCAAGCATCATCACATGATTACAATACATATGTAAAAGACTGGGGATGGCAATGGAAACCATTGAGACACAAGAAGCTGCTACCTTTGAAAAAATTTAAATAGGCAGAAAACACAGAAATGTATGGAGTACTGGAGAACAAAGAATCCCTTTGAAAATATTTTGTTTTAGAACGGTTGGTAAAATACTCTTAACATTAGTTTATGCTTCAGAGATCTCTTAGAGGCAAAGTTTAATGATAGCAACATTATCAGTGATAGTTCACTCCAGCATTATGAGTGGATTTCTAAGTAAGCAAATATTTGATGTATTTAATATTAGAAAAGTACTTTCAAATGTTGCAAAATATCAAATATCTTAGAATATTTAGAGCGGGAATGTAATTTAGAAATATACAAAGTACCAACATTGTTTCTAATAATTCCTGTTCCATATTCTTCATCAGGTGAGATAATGTAGTGAATACTTGAACATTAAATATGTAATTAAGAAATCTATATTGAAAATACTTTGTAGGTTTGTGTCAGTTCATTGTACAGAATAGTTTGTCCTGTCCTGGATGGATGGATTTCATAATTTGATTTCCATTCCTAGTTTGGAGAGAAAATGTAGTTTGTCATATTTGTATTTGGTGCTGTTCAAATATCAGGGTAATTTTTTTTTCAGACCAAGAAACTCCAGCCCATTACATCCCAAAGCTTGGCAAGATAGAATGATATTAAAATCAGATGAATGGAACTAAATGCAAAGGCAACATGAACTTGAATTATGCCAGCCATGGTTTGAGTTTTATTATCAGATAATCGTTACTTGGCCTTATTTGTGATCTGGAAGTGGTCTCTAATTTCACACTTAATATAAATCATAATTCTAACTAGTTCTAGAATAGCTACAATCAATAACTGACGACTTTGAGCTGGCTTGAATACAGCTGGTTTCGATAAATATACCGCATTTGTATATTTTGTCTGAATTCAGTTGTTTTGTCAACTTTATCATATTACTGTGCATGATTTATTATGGAATTCCAATGTCTTTGTATTCTCAAGCTGTAATGTAATTTTATACTTGATGGATTTTTGTATTACCAATATAGAACTCTTGGGGGAAAAGTGAGATAATAATCAAGTGTGCTTCTTTGTATTGTCTTTATTAAATTCAGTATTAACCATCATGTGAAGTCCTCTTCAGTATTTATTCACAAATACAGAAAAATGCTGCTAAAAATTGTTGAGCCCTGTTCTCTAAGCCCTGTGACACCTCTTTATCATTGTGAGCCTCTAAGAAAGTTAACAAAGACAGTTGGAGACAAACATTTAAATTACAGAACAGCATTATACTCTGCTTTTTACAGGGGAATATAAGTGCATTATGTCTCCAGAATTCTTAATATATCTAGAAATATAAATAGCCCCTCCCCAAAAGAACACCACTTCCCCAAAAAGGCCCCCAAACCCATCCTTATCCCCTTTAATAATGTTGTTTTACTGTTATGTCTCTGTGGTCTTGAAAATATTTTTTTTAGAATTACTACATACACATGCTCTTTCAGTCTTATATGATATGCTTAATGAGCCTTATTCACTAAAGTAACTTTTTTTTCTTACTATTTGAAGTTTATATGTATCTCTTACTGCATATTTGAAAACCTTGTGAAGACTTCTGTAGGAAAGAGAATGGATGTTGAGCAGTATTAACCTTAATTCCAAGACTAGACATCAAAATAACACCTGGAAAGAACATTCTTGCCCAAACCTGTGCCTTTAATTTGTGAATTCTTCCTCTGCTTCTACTGGAGCATTTTGTCAAAAGAAAAGTATCTAACGCTAGTATTCTTCTTTGGTAGCATCAAAATGCTTGACAACGTTCAATTTTTAAATGGCAAGCATGCTTTTTTTTTTGCTTCTGTGTTTGTGCACTTTAATTTAAGTGAGACTGTGAAAAGCATTCATCTTTTGCATTCATTAGAGGAGCTATTAATCACTACCGTAATGTATTGTTTGTCATTGTGAACTTCTCAAATTCTGAACATTACTCAATATTTTTTTTTCCTTTGGACCTGTGCTAAAATAAGAATTAAAATGGAGAGTTACAAATGCCTCTGAGAGAGCATTCATACCATTATTGCTTTTGTACAGCTCTGAAGTTACCTCAACACTGTGGCCTGCTATTTAGATTTGATTTAGAGATGGATTGCTAGAGTGTCCACCAAGGTGTACACCAGCATTTTTAATTCTTTATGAGTACATCTGGTATAATTATCCAAGATGTGAGAAATGGATTCACATGTAGCCTGTCTTTCATCTGAATTTGTGCCTTGCAATGTCAGTAAGATTGGATATATTTGGGTGAGATGGAACTAAACTTCTGCTAAGGTCATTACTGGCAATCTTTTCTTCAGTGATAGCTGGAGGACTGCAATCTTCCATGTTAATAGAAAGAAAATGTTTGACTGCATTTGGAAAATGAATGGCTGGATAGTAAAACCTAACCGAAAGGGCCATTTATTTGAGCCGACATCTTCAGTATAAATATTTGTACCTTGCAGCAACATTCCTTTTTCAAAGCAGACATCGCACATATTGTAAATGTTTATACATTTTCAGTGCTACGTTAAAGCTGTTAGGATTCAAGTTGTAACAAAATTCTGATTTCTGCTCGGATTTCTCATTCTGAATTGATTTCTTTGCTATTCCATTGGCACATCAGTTTTGCTTTACTGCAAATATTAGGCATGGACAGGACATACTACTTATAAAAAATGGACTTTGGAGCTCGCTTCAAAATAAGAGTTCTAGCTGCAAACTTCTTTGTTTCTTATTCCTCTCTGCCATTTCCGCCTATCTTTTATTCAAATTTTTCCCAATGTTGGTACGCTCTAGGTTTCAATTCCTTGAGTTGATGACTTCAGCATTAGTCTTTGCAAACTATTTTAATATCTCACCTATATTAACCCAGTCAGCATCGTAGAAAACTGCCGGGAAATGTTAAAAGTTGTAATACATATAAATAAATGAAAGTTGATCAAGCTGTGGAAGGCTGTTCTACTCATTACAGCTAGCCTAGTTTTTTAGGGAGAATATATATTTATATAGTCCACTGCTGTATTTTTGTTGCTGTGTAAGTGTTTAATTAGGTATTTGACATTTAGCAAGTATCTGCTTAATGGTTCACTGAACCTTACTTCCTCCTTCAGCCATGGTAATCGTTGGGAGTTAAGATCTGAATAGAATACTTGTACAAATACTTCAATTGTAAAGACATTTCAGTTGCTTTCTGTTATATGCTTTTCCTCGATCCATACTGCTGCATCAGCACTGACAGTTTTTTTTTGTTATATTATTATAGCTAGTTTATCCTTGCATTTTTGGATTACAGTTAGACTTGTTTATGCCAGGGATCAGGAGATACACATTCATGTGTTTTGAGATGTGCTCAGTGCAAGGACAAAGGAGAAAATGTGTGTAAAAGCTGCCAAATAACTTATTACCCAATAGGTTTGTACCAGTAATGTTTTGTTCTTTGCAATTTGTAGATTTATTGCTTCTTAGTTGTGAGATAATACAGGGAACATTATGTCTTGTAAGCAGGTTTAATCTTGTCTGTTTTATCCAATGATGTTAATAGTATAAAATTGGTTGCATCCAGAGTAGGCTCTTTGTTTTAATGTAAACATCCTCCCTTCTTCCATCACGTGGGATTCGCCTGTGTTTTCCACAAGTTCAGTTTCCTCCTCCCCCTTTTAATGCAGCAACTTTGTTATGGATGTAAACTCATCTCAGCCTCTGTCTAATCGACAGGACCCATTGGAAGATTGAATAGGAGTTTATTTATTGATTTATTTGTATCCCACCTTCATTATTTTTACAAATATTGCAAGCAGCAAATATATCTAACACAGCTTTCTCTTCCTATTTTCCCCACAATGATGACTCTGGGAGATGGGTGGGCTGATAGAGAGATTGACTGGCCCAAAGTCACCCAAATGGCTCCCCCCTTACTCTAAAGCATCTGGAAGATTTAGATCTCTTTGTTTGATTTAAATGTTTGCAGCAGATA